GTTGCTGGGTCAAAGGGTGGCTGGTCAAAGAGGACCAATGACATTATGATGTTGGGGTCAGGGTATAGTGTGTTTGGCTGTGGCTGATCTGTCCAATACAAGTCTGGAAGGCTCTGCCTACCATAGTTGGGCATGAGTAATCTGTTAGAACATTTGGGATGGAGATGTCTCTGGATTTGTGCAGCTCACATTTTCATTGTGCTACTTTGAATCTGCCTTGCTCATAGAGCACAATACCTTCTTTGACGCGGACATGCCACTCTAGGGATCCTGTGCCAGTATCTCCCATGTCTTACACCAAAGTTCTTCAGAGAGACCTTGAGAGTGTTTTTGTATTGCTTCTTCTGACAACATGTGAGTGCTTGCCTTGTTCAAGCCCTCCATAAAATAGTTTTTTAGGCAAACATACATTTGGCATTTCAGCTATGTGGCCAGTCAATCAGAGTTGCACTCCGTGCAGTGGAGTTTGAATGCTTGACAGTTCAGTTCAAGAAATGACCTCAGTGTCTGGTACATTATCTTGCCAGGTAATCTTCAAAATCTTCCCAAGACAATTCAAATGGAAGTGATTCAGTTTCCTGGCATGTTGCTGGTAGACTGCCTAGGTTTCATAGGCATATAACAATGAGGTCAACACAATGGCTCTGCAGACCATTTTGGTAGGCAGTCTGATACTTCCTCTCTCCTACACCCTTCAGAGCCTCCCAAACACTGAGCTAGTTCTCACAATGCATATGTCAGCCTCATCATCTATGTGTACATCCCTGGAAAATATACTGCCAAGGTAAGTGAACTTATCCACAGTATTCAAAATTTCTCCATTTGCTGTAACAGACAGTTCCATGTATGGATGGATGCTGTGCTGGTTGGTGAGGGACATCATGGTAAAGTGCTTTGCAAACCTCAAAGTGCTAAATAAATGTGAACTCTCTTTTGTTTTCACATCACCTATATTTCCCCATGTATCTTTCCCCATTTATCTCTAAGAGAGCCATCCCTTATGACAAAGAATAAGAAAGGGGTATGGGAGAGTAGAAGTCCAGACAAACTGACCAATCACATCCAGTGTTGCACCCCATAGTCCCCCACCCATTCTAAGAAGTCAGGGAGGGGCCTTCTCACATCCCATTTTTGAAGCCCTACTTGGTCCCTATAACGTCACAGTATTCAATTTTGATTGTTTTGTTAGTGTTGTTCTTTGCCTTTACATTGTTGTCACTGTATACCATGCATTTTTTTTCCTGATCCTGTTTACCTCACTCTGCATCAATTCATATGTCTTCCCACACTGGTTTGTACTCATGTTTATCGTATCTTACTAATACTTCATTATGTTCATGAACCACCACTTGCTTGGCTGCTCCCTAGTCTCTGAGAGTTTGTTTCTAGTTCTTTGCTCTTATGAAAAGTGCTTCCATGAATATTTTGGTGTGAAAATGGCCTTTCTTTTTATAATTTACTCCTTGGGGCACTTGCCTAACAGTGGGATCCCTGGGTCAAAGGGAATGGGATGTTTAAATCACTTTTTAAGGATAATTCTAAAGCTTTTTTTCCAGAGTGGGTAGAACAATTCACAGCTCCACCAATCATGTATTAGTGCGCCCATCTTTCCAAAACCCTTCCAACATTGACAATTATTTTAGGCACATTTTGTATATGAGGAAACTGAGGCTCAGAAGGGGTGAAGTGATTTGCTAAGGATTGTACAGCTGGTGAGTGTTAAAGATGGGGCTTGGACCCAGGTCTTCTGACTCCAAGTTCTGTATTCTTTCCATTAGAACATTTGCTATCCCCTTCTGCCCCACTCCTTCTAACTTTTTTTTTTAAATGTATAGTTTACAGATTCTCCCAGTCACCTAGATTCAGAACTCCCAAGTCATGTTCGGCTCTACTCTCTCTATCCTGTAATATCTAGTCCGGGGTCAATTTTCATGGATTCTTCATCTATAGGTGCCATACACATTGGAGTCCTTTACTCTCCACTCCCGCTCCCACCACTATTTCTCTCTCTTTTCTATTTCTTAAAAAAAAAAAATCTGAACTTAACACACATCAGAGTCAACATTTCCATATACAAAGTATAACAGAAAAACGGAATTGTACCTGAAACCAAAAATCTGTATTGTGCATAGCTTGCTTTTCCTTTGTGGAAGCATATTTAAAGTGTCATTTTTAGTTTCTTTATAAATATTTCTCTAGTCTAAAAACCCTTTCCAGACTCATCTCTATTGGAAAATATGTAGGAGAAAAAAAGTCTTTCTTAGGGATATGGATTAACTGTGGCAAAGAAGTTTTGAATAAAGAGTACTTTTAGTCTTGTTAAAACTATTGCCTTCCAGTCTTTCCCCACCCCCCACCCCCATCCCAAAGAGAAGTTCCCTCTTTCTCATTCAGAGTGAGTATTATATTGATTACAGGGAAGGAGATCCTTTCAATACCTGACAGGAATGGTCAAGGAAGGAACTTAGTGGTTATTTAGTTAGTCCTTTTTGAGACTTGAAGTAGAATGTTAACACAAATTGTATTTTAACATATTATAACATTTTCTTTGATCAAGATTCTCATAAATGTTACCTCAAATTGTCTTGAGGTAGAGAGATATCTGAAGGCATAATTGGACTATGCAATCTAGAACATTTCTTTCTCTGAGCTAGAATATGTTTAGATTTAGAATAATGTTAAATTCTTAAAAATTGTTTCTGGCAGACATGTGCCTAGAACAATTTTTTTTACACCTTTTTAAGAATATAATTAGTTGAATATGTAACTCTCAAATCTGTCCTGCTTGTCTGTATTTCTTTCTGGTCTTCCCTTACATTTACTTCTCTGTGTTAAAAATGTTGCCCTGATCCTTTTTGCTTTGATTTTTTTTTTGGCAATCCTATTAATGACTTTTTCCTTCACCTCCTCTCCTCAGTGAAAAAAGAAAAGAAAAAAATCTATAACCAGGCAAAACAAATTCTCACTTTGGCTGTGCATAAAAATGTGTGTATCTATATGTTGAGTCCATCACCTCTCTGTCAGGGGCTGGGTAGAATGCTTCAACATTTGTTGTTGAGTCATGTCTGACTCTTTGTGACCCTATTTGGGGTTTTCTTGGCAAAGATACTGGACTGGTTTGCCATTTTTTCTCCAGCTCAGTTGATAGATGAAGAAACAGAAGCAAACAGGATTAAGCGACTTGCCCAAGGTTACACAGCTAGTAAGTGTCTGAGGCTGCATCTGAACTTGGGTCTTCCTGACTTCCAGGTCCAGTGCTCCATCCAATGCGCCATCTAGCTGCTCATATAGGCTTTAAGGGTTTCAAAAGTGCCTTGCAATTATTATCTCATTTTTATCTTCAGAACAACCCTGGGATGTAGGTGTTAGTATTAATCCCCCTTTGTAGGAAACTGAGACTTAAGGACATTAAATGACTTGCTCAGGGTCATACAGCAAGTATCTGAGAGTAGATTTGAACTCCAGCACTTGATCCAATCACTGTCCCAACATAGCTGCCTCCAAATAGATTATTTAATAATTTTTTTTCTTTTAACTTTCTGCTTACTCAGTATTTTTTTTTAATAAATTTTTTAAACCAAGAAACAAATGTCAATTTTGTTTGCAGAACCGAACAAATGAACCAAACCCAAGTTTTTAAAAAACCTTACATTGAATGTTTTAAAATTTAAATTTTAAAGTATATTTAATGCAACATTTCCTTTATTCCATCTGAGTGATTTCCCAGCCTTACTCTTTTAAAGTTATTTTCAGTTATTATTCAATTATTCTATTCTGTTATTATTACTATTGTTATTATTTTGCACTAAGTCCTCGGTACAAATCACAGTCCCCTTAATACCTCAGTAGCAGGCCTGGGTTAAGTTGCTGTCACCTGGTCCTACCTCTGGGCATGAGGCACTTCTGGGTCACTGAGGGTGGTCCTACCTAGTGAGAGCTGCCATAGCGTAAGATTTCAGGACCCAGGATCCCCATAAGGAAGCATTATAACATCTAAGGTCTAGAGTTGGAAGTGACCATCAAGGTCATCTAGTTCAATCCCCTCACATAACAGATGATGAGAGGTTAACTGACTTGCTTAGAATCACACAGCCATAATTGCCCTTTTTTTTGGGAGAGGCAATCAGGGTTAAGTGACTTACCCAGGGTCACGTAACTATTAAGTGTCAAGTGTCTGAGGCCAGATTTGAACTCAGGTCCTCCTGACTCCAGGGCTGGTGCTCTATCCACTGCACCACCTAGCTGCCCCAATACAGTCATAATTTAAAGAGGTCCTTTGCCTCTAAATTCAGCACCCTTCCCCCTACACCATGCTACAATGAAAGAAAATCCATTTGGACACCAAAAATGTTTTCTTGTTGTTGCCATTTTTGATGGAAATCTTTTAAAAATGTATCATATGCCTTTCTATACAGAGGACCACAAACAAAATTTAGCCTTTCTTTTTGACTTGGGTTCATCATGATCATCAATATGACTGGGGCTGTTTGGACTCACACTTATGGTACCAGATGTTGGGCCCAGAGGGTTTTGTGTTTGCCTTCCACAGTTTTTGCCTACGTGCCTGACTGAAGCAGTCATTGAAGACTAGGAAACCATAAAAAACCAGGCTTTACAGAATTATGTGCAAAATAAGAATAAATAGGAACTGAGAGAGGTGGGTGTGTCTGTTCATTTCCTCCCTTCTCCTAACTCCAACCCTTCCACTGAGCATGAATGAGCCTTACTTAGTTCATGGATTTTAAGAACACAGAGCTGGGAAGCTTATTCTGGTGCTTTGAATAGGGAGGCCTCCATATAAGTGAGGCTGTCCTTTAAATCCCAGTGATAATTTAACACTGGCTTGCCAGTGTGTTTGGGGAGTTAGTTACACCTCACCAAAGAAGGGGCTTCCAATCTTTTGCCAGGCTACTGGAAATACTACTGTTTGCTAATCCAGATACCTGGCCTGATCACACCCTTGGAGTCACAGACAGAGGCGGTGGGGCCACATCTGGTTCAGAATCAAACACATTTATTTCACTTTTATTGAGTACAAGAACAGAGAGCACACACGCATACAGCACGGAGCACTGGCAGGGGAGAGGGCACAAGGGAGCAGTGGATTAGCGAGGGAATAAGAAGGAGGCTGTCGCAGTCGATTGGTCAAAGGTGCTTCTGAAAAAATAATTTATTTATAGTGTCGTTGTTCATGCAATTGCAGGCCAGTCTTGGAATGTGCTTGCAGGATTCGGTATTTTTAACAGGCACTGACACTTCCCGCACCCTCAACCTGAAGGGATCCAGAGAAATAAAACAGAAGACTTCACAGAATCTTAGAAATGGAGGCGTCTCAGAGGGTCACCAGGTCCAGCCCCACCTCCCCTCCAATTTTCATGGATGAGGACCTAAGGCTTTAGAGAGGAAGAAGTTCTTTGCCCAGTGTGACACAGTGAGTTGGGGGCAGAGCCAAGAGTAGGACCCTTAGACTCCTCCCCTGCCCCTAAGAGAGAAGAGGAGCAAAGAAGTGAAGGGAGGGAGGAGGAGAGAGAGGCAAAGTCTATGCCTAATGTTTTCCATGGAAGGGATGGGTGGCCATGAGCCAATGGCTTTATCTTACAGCTTCACTGCCTCTAAAAGACCTACTCCTTCGGTTCCCACCTCTTTAAGGAAGACAAAAGGTGGAATTGTCTGGAGTTCTCCAGTGAATGGACTCACCCTGGAACTCCCAGTGATCACACACACCCTAGAGACTCTCCAGAAAGAGTAATCACTGAACACACACATGGGAGGCACAGGACCTGTGGGAGTCATTAAAACCTGAGACAGGTAGCTTGGGCCAGGGTCATTTCTCGGGAATGGGGCGGTCTGGACCACAGACAAAGGGCTCTTTCACACCTCCTCTCTGTGGGACCTAAGGACCCTTACAGCGCTCTGATCTCGTCTTACCTAGAGTGCTTGAGGATAGGGCAGAGGTAAAGACCTGGGATCTAAAGTAAGCTAAGAAACTACGCACACCCAGTACCTCTTGGCTAGAGTTGGGATTAGGAGGAATTTACTCAGACTTGGATAACTTCAAAGGGAAGTCGCCATGGCACCACACTGTCTCTCACACTACCCCTATTTGTCAGGGAGGATGAAGAAGGGGTTCCCATTCAGGTCAGGGTTAATATTCTATCTCTTCTGAGATCTTTTCCAGCTCTGAGATTCTGTGAAGGTGGATAAATAGAATTTAAATGTGTTCGGGTAGTGGAGTGAGGGGAGATGTTTAAAGTGCAGTGGGGGCATTTCCCCCCTAATGCCCTACCCTGTGGCAGCCCACTTGGAGAGGGTCACCCAGCCCTGGCCCTGACTCCACTGAGCCTCAGCCAGTACCCAATGGAAAGCCTAGACACCAGATGTAGTGATGCGTATGGTCCAGGAGGACTGAAGCTCTCCTTCAAAGGCTCATTGTGGACCTTTTAGGGAGCTCCATTGTTCTTGGGCTTGGAGTTCAGATGTAGAGAGGACCAGATTCTCTTCCAGGAAGCCAATGACCTGGGTCTCTTTTTATTCCCAGCTTGAATCATAATAGAATTTGGAGCTTGAAGGGTAATTAAAGATAAAGAGGGTAGTCCAACCTTCTCATTTTATAGATCAGAAAACTGAGGCCCAGAGAAGTTAAATAAATTGTCCAAGGTCACTGGGTCATATTTGGGCTCTGGGAACAAGAGTCTGAGATTGAGCTTTAAAGTCCTCTACAATCCATGAAAATTCTTGTCCTGGGTCTGGGTCCCCCCCAGACCTTGCTGCCACTCTGGCTCATCCTTTGGCACATAAAGAGGAGGGAGATTGTAAATTTTAGGAAGACTGAGAGGTAGGGCCAGGACAAGCCCTACCAAGCTCTTAGAATCAGAGCCAATCGCCAGCCACGAATGTGGTCAGTGAGGAAAAGGCAAGTAGCCATTAAAAGGAGGTTCAGACCCCAGCCTATCCCTAGGGAAGGAGTCTGAGGTCCCAGGGTAGCGAAGTAAGCCCCAAGTTCTCTTACTCCATTCCCAAAGCAAAAATCAGGCCTCCCTAGAATTCAGCTAGGGTGTGAGGTGGGGATGGGGACACAGAATAGTGAGGCCTTTTGACTGGCACATTCTGGACAATGACTCTGCTGCCTTCTTGCCAAACCCCTGCCTCTACACCCTAGGACCTGCCCCCTCACTACCCACCAACCCACCAAAGACGAACACCACACATTGTTTCACGACACCAATCCCTTTGGCCACCGAGACAGAACCTGCACACAGACTCTAGGCCTCTTGGGTGGGGGAGGGGGGGATTTCAGTGTGATCTAAGAACCTCAGAATACATCAACCAAAGAATTATAATTTAAAAACTTCAGCATCATACTTACCAGCACTGTTTATTTTAATATTTTTCCCTGTTATATATAATATACATAACTTAAAAGCACATCCGTATGAATTCCCCCAGATGGGCTGCCCCATTGTGGTAAGAAGCCACAGACACGCAGCGTCCACTTTTCCTCTCTTCAGGTTTGTCTCTCCAGTATTCTTTGCTTCCAATGATGAGTCGCTTACAATTCCCTGGGCAGCCCTGGGTGAAACACAGGAGGTGAGGGGGCGACAAGGAGAGGAGAGAGGAAAAGAGTGGGGCAATGGTGGCAAGAGAGTACGTCACGACTAGCATGAGTTTGGGGGAGGGAGGAGAGAGGGGTACGAATACTAGCCACAGAGCCCAGTGTCAGGCCCAGAGAGAAAGAACTCCTTCCTTTTGCCAGTGGGGATCTTCTTTCCTTCTTTCAAACATTTTTCTTGTTCGGAGCTTCTATGATGCTTGCTTTGTTGCAAAGCATTCCCCCTCATACACATGGGTGACGAATGTTGGAAAAGAAGGAGCGGATCACACACGAGTCCTCGTGAGATGGGATATGCAGAGCTTGTGGCTTGCTGGGCAGCTGCGATGTCACAAGGGGTCTGGCTTTTATTTCTCTTTATCATGGTAGCATTTTTTTCTTCTTTTTCTTTTTTTTTTCTTAAAAATCCCATCCATTTTTTTTTTTTTTGTCTGCAAAGGCGAACGTAGGTGGTTGGTTGGTTTGCTTTAGCCGTTGGTTTGATTTCTTTCCCCGCAACTTCCATAGCAGTGCAAGGCTGTGTTCTGTTTGCTGTGTGTATGTGTGTATGTGTGTGTGTGTGTGTGTGTGTGTGTGTGTATGTGTGTGTATATATATATATATATACCTATATATATCTATACATATATATGCTCTTCCTTTGTAGTCTCTCAGCAGGGACGGAACATTGCAGCTGGGTTGTCTGTGTCTAATCTCAGAATTCAGTGTGAAGGCCCTCTCCTCAACTGCTCTCCAAGTTGGTTTGAATAGAGATGCCAACTTCTTTGCACAGGGGTCAAGATTCCTGGAAGTCCAGTGTGAGGGGAAAGAGAAGAGAGAGATCAGAGGGGAAAAGAAGAAAAAAAGAAAGAAAAGAAAAGGAAAAGGAAAAAAAAGGACAAAATGAGTTAATGATTTATGGCTATTTTCTTGCCACCTTCCCAGCTCAAGCCTTCTCCTTCCTGGCTGAGCAAAAAGGCCCAGGTGGCTCATAGGCTCCATCAGTCACTGTTTCCCTGGGATCACAGAGAAGCATCAAGCTGGTTCTTAGCCTTGTTTGTGTCATGGCTTCCTTTGGTAGTCTGGTAAAGCTGATGGACCATTTCCCAGAATCATGTTTCAGGGAAGGGGAAGAAAATAAGCATTTATATAGCATCAAGTGCCAGGAATTTGTATTAAGTATTTTTTACAAATATCATCTCATTTGATTCTCACAATCCCCCTAAGAGATAAGTGCTGTTATTACTCTCATTTTTACAATTGAGGAAACTGAGGCAAACAGAGGTTAATTTGACTTGCCCAAGGTCACACTGCTAGTAAGTGTCTGAGGTCAGATTTTAAACTCAGGTCTTCCTAATTCTAGGCCTGGTGCTCTATCCCTGTGCTGTCAGTTGTTTTTAGATGCATAGAATAAAATATATAAGATTATGAAAAAAGCCAATTATATTAAAATACAATTATCACAATAATTTTTTTTAAAAGTTCATGGATATCAAGTGAAGAATCTGTGTTGTAGGTGAAAGAGAATTGAGCTAGGAGTCAAGAACCCTAGCTTTGAATCCCAGCACTAGTGCTTATGTGATCTCATAAATGAGATTCTTCCCTTTGTAAATCCTCTGGTCAAGAGCCTAAGTCACTGGGTGCCCTTGGCCAAGTCAATTTACTTCAGAAGTAAATTGTAAGGAAATTCAGTATACTTCAGAAGTAAATTCAGATACTTTAGAAGGTGCCTCATTTGTTAAACTGGGATAATTATACTTTTGCTATCTACTTTATAGAATTATAGATCCTATGGGAAAGCAGAGACCCTAGAGAAAACACTTAGTCCAATCTCCTCACTCCACACATTGGGAAACTGGTTAAGTGCCTTGTGCAAGGACTCATGAGCAATAAGCATTGGAGCAGGATTTGAACCCAGGTTCTCTAACTCCAAAGGAAATGCTCTTGAGGAAGATGATTTGATAACCTTTAGGCATTATAGAAATGTGAATTATATTATCAATATAAACTACTGGTATCATTATTATCATCATCATTGTCGTTATCATCATCACCCCAAAAATGTCAACTATATCAACTATATAATCAACTATAATCAATCAGCTACAGGATTTGGAGCTGAAAGTGACCTCAGAGATTATCTGGTCCAATTCTTTCTTATCACAGTGGACAACTGAGACCTATATCACGTTGGACTTGCCCAAGGTCACACATACATAGGCAGAGGTGAGACCAAAATGGTAGCCTCCTGACTCACCACTGCCCCACTCCACTTCTGGTGTCTAGCTCCCCACTGGGATCAGAGATTGGCCTCATGTAGAACGTAGCAGGAGAACGTGGTATTCATGCTGTAGGTGGTCACTGTGCCCCTGCCCTGCTGCTGGTCAGGGGTGTGGGCATGGTAACAGACACCTCCAATGAGAGCAGTGAGTTGTATGGCAACCAATCCCGCTGTCTTAATGTGCCCAAAGGAAAAAGGGGTAGGAACATCGGAGGCACTTTTCAAAGGCTTCAAATACTGAGTTTGGAAGGAACAGGTCACCAGCAGGAACTGCAATCTCCTTGGTGCTCCCAGGGGTGTCTGGGCAGGCGCCTGTAAGGGAGGATGGGGGAGGGAGGAAGCCAAGACCAACTCTATCATTCAGAGATGGGAGGAGAAGAGAAAGCCTCCCTTTCTCCCAGCACTAACAGAACTAATTAGGACTATAGCATTTAGAGCCAAGAAGGCTCTTAGAGATCACAGGATCATAGATTTAAAGTTAGAAGGGGAAATTAGAAATCATCTAGTTCAGCCGTCTCATTTGACAGGTAAGGAACTAAGATCAAGAGGGATCAATTGGCTTGTCCAGGGTCATACGGCAGGTAAATGTCAGAGGCAGGATTTGAAGGCAGGTTTTCCTTTCTCCAAATCCAGTGCTCTATTCACTACACCAGAGAGGTCAAATCCATATTCCTGAACCATATTAAAATGTAACTGGGAAGTATTTAATGAAATAAATAAAAATTAATATATCATACTGTTAACTTGTGGTGTTTAAGTCAATTTGCAGCCCCCAGGGATCTGTTTCTATTTGTTTGATACCACTAGGTCATCTAGTTTAAACCCCAACCCCCCCAACTTTATAGAGGAGGAAACTGAGGCCTGAAAAAGTTAAGTGACTTGTCCAAAGTCACACAGGTATTAAATATCGAGCCCGGGCTTCTCTGATCACCACTGCCCCATTGTTCTTTCCATTGCCCTTTGATCCTTTTTTTTTTTTGCTTTTTGGTGAGGCAATCAGGGTTAAGTGACTTGCCTACAGTCACATAGCTAGTAAAGTGTCTGAGGCCAGATTTGAACTCAGGTCCTCCTGACTCCACTGGGGCCAGAGCTCTATCCACTGTGCCACCTAGCTGTCCTGCCTTTTGACCCTGCTCTAAAAATGACTTATGATTCTAGCCTCTCCCAACTTGTTCTGTCCCATCGTGAGGGGTTATGAACAAACAACATTCATCCCATGATCTCTTCAGCCTGGGACGTGATTCTTGCATGGGGGTGGGGGGGCATGGGGCCAGGGGCTGGGATAAGAAATAAAGGGAATGAAGTGTCTGCTCCTGAAGGGCATCGCCGCTAGAAAGTGGGCTCTAAAAGAGAAAGATGGCACAGTGTGGGGTGACAGCATGAAAGAATTAAAGAAGGTAGACGACAGAGCCCAAGGAGGAGGAGAAGAAAGACAGGTTTGGACGCCAAAGAAGGAGCAGAGGCAGCTGCAAGTAAAAGCTACCATCACAGATCTACAGGTGGGAGCAGCAGGGGTGGGAGGATGCCAGAATGAGGAGCCTTGCTGGAAAGAACTTGTACACGTGTTTGTTGCGGGGGGGGGGGCAGGGAGGACGGGAGCTGTGAACGGAACAGACAAAGGAGAGCAGCGGCAGGGGGTGTTAGATGGAGGAGACACAGCAGAAAAGATACTTCAGACATGGAAGAGGAATGATGGCAGGCCAGGACTCAGAGCTGGAAAAGACCTCAGACGTCATCAAGTCCAGTTCTCTCATTTTACAGATGAGGAAACTGAGGCACAAGACTTGCCTAGATGAGTTAGTAGCAGAGCTGGGCCAAGAATCTAGGATGCCTCACAGTCTAGTCTTTCTTCTTCCTTCTGTTTTCCTTTCTTCCTCTTTCCCTTTCCTTTCCCTTTTGTATCTGAAAATGCATGTTTAATTCCATACTTGTAAAGACTCTTTTCTACATTCCTCAACATGCTGCTCCCCAGTCCAGGAAGCCTATCCAAGGGAAGAAAAACTTGAGCGAGGTTGTAAAGCCTGGAAGGATTAATAGCAGGCAACTGTCCCAGGGCTGAGGTCATCCATGCATCCCAGGATACAGGATACCTGTGATCTCCCCCTGTGCATGGGGCAGCTAGGTGGTGCAGTGGATGGAATGCTGGGCCACAAGTCAGGAAGACTCATCTTCCCAAGTTCAAATATGGCCTCACACACTTATTCGGTATATGACCTTGAATCACTTAACCCTGTTTACCTCAGTTTCCTCATCTGTAAAATGAACTGGAGAAGGAAATGGCAAACCATTCCAGGATATCTGCCAAGAAAAGCCCAAAATAGGGTCACAGAGAGTTGGACACAACTGAACAACAACAATAAACATGTGCATGAGTAATCGGGGGTCAGAGGAAGAGCCCCGTGGAGGGCCTTTCCATGGCATTCATTACCTGTGGCTTCTTGTCCCTTTCTTCGGGAGATGGGTCTGTTTCTCTGTATACAACGGCTTTGGTTACCAGCATGTCTGGGTGTTGCAGTTTGGCCTCCTTGATGGCCAAAGCCAACGCCTGGGACACAAGGATAGGACACTGTATGATATGAACAACCTCTAATTTAAACCCAGAGACCCAGACCCCAGGATGCACAGGGGGAGGGGGAGGAGAGGAGAAGGGTATATCCCTAAATGAACCCAATCCACTGAAGCCAGGATTGAGATTTAGGGTTTGGGGCACATGTCTTTGAGGTAGAAGCCAGGTCACCAACCAAACCCAAAGACTTCAGCATCCACAGGGACTTTTCTATGCTAATTAGATTTGGAACTGCATGAGGACAGGGACCACTATATCCCCTCCCCTCAACCAGGCCAAAGCCCAGCACAGGGTACCCCACAGGTACCAATTAAATGACAGTTCTGTATGTTATTGAATGCATGTCTTATTTCCCCAAGGGATAAAAGAGCTTTGGGAGAAGAAAGGATTAGAGATGTGCTGGAGCCAGCTTAAACTGGTTTTGGAAAACTGATTGTTAAATTTTCAATGTGAGTGTTTACACTTCAGAAATTGACAAGTGCTACATAGGGGATTGCTTTATTATTTGTTGATTGTCTAGACTTAAAAAAAGCCATGGAGAAAATGTTAATAATGCAGATTAAACTTTAAAAGTGTGTTGTATACATTTCTCTCTCTCTCTCTCTCTCTCTCTCTCTCACACACACACACACACACACACACACA